ATCTCTCTCAAATTAGTACCGTAGTTAAGACGTTATGAGCGAGAAAGAGATAGCGCTAGACCGAAAGCATAGGCCATCTCTCTCTCTCTTTTCAAACTAAAAAATTACTGCAGATTATACGCGTACGGCATGTCCATTAGTATATGTCGATGGTAGCATGTGTGTCGGAATGTTAGCATGCTATGCATGTTGAAAACCAAACAAGACGACTCAATTCTTCAATAACCACGCCAACAATCCCTGCAACACTTATAACTACATATATATCTCGTAATCACAACAGTGACGTCACACTATAATAATGCAGTTCTCTCGAGATGCAAGCATTATGTCGAGCTCGACATGTAACCCAATTTCCTCAATACAATCTCCTACAATATGTACGCTTAAGGAGATAGCTTCACTCATGTATACTCTATACCGACTGTTTTCCTTTAATACTACGCTCGGTATGAAAGGCACGTGGAAAGATTAGGGTCATATAGCTTTGTGTAGTGGATTTTATCTTTATTATTCCATTGAACGGAATAAAGACTAGGACAACCAATAACTAAATAATAATTGAATCTATTTAAAAATGTTCTTTATAGAATAGGAATCGGCGAGATCGGTAAGCGGTTAACATCGCTAATGGTCAAAGTCAAAATCAAAGCATTTATTTCAATTAATCCCTAATTTTGAAACGTTAAAAATTAAATAGTCCGTCTGTATGTCTGTCAGGGAAGTTAGGCATCCACATCACCAGAGAAGTTACATAGGCGTATTATGCTTAATGCGTAGGTACGCATTCATTTAAGGTACTACACTATTCTGTTGGTTAGTCGCAAGACTCTAAATGAAGTTTAAAGTTAGAACTTTCATGGCAGCAGACTACCTGTCATTTTCAGGATTTTTTTCTGTCATAATAATCTTCTCCTGACAATAACGAACACAACAAAAAAAAACAGCCTAATCGGTCTAATCTACCAGACGGATATAAAAATAAAAATTAGGCATCTGCCCTATTCTGCTTATACCGCAAAGCAATGCAGACTTTCAATCATTATTAAGTACTGCGACAGTCCGCTAAAAGATTTATGCACCTAACATAACATATACGCAGTTGTTATCACAACATATTTCCACTGGACGTTGATTTATAAGAGTGCTTTTAAAAAAGACCTGACAACTCATGCTGACTTATTTTAGCACTGAAATAGTAACTACAGAGCAAATGTTCACTATTTTATTTTTATATTATTCTGGAGATATTATGAGACTCTTTAGTCTACGTATAACTAACAAAAGATAAACCCGAGAATCGAACCCGAGACCCCTTGCGCGGCAGTCGCACTTGCGACCACTCGGTCAACGAGTCAAGCTTCGTTACTTGTAGAGGTATATCAGCTACATAAGTCATAAGTTTATTCTAAAAACGATCTATCTATGATATTACAGACTACGATTTACAGCTATTACAGATCTTATTCAAATTGTGGAATTTTATAGGTCATGTCCTAGGTTATGTGTACCTAGGTTAGTCTCTTTTGTCAATTACAGTCTAACAAAGAACATTGGAAAATTGAACGTTGTTATTTTTATTTGTTAATAAGAATATTTTGTTACCGATATCATTTGAGATGTATTTCTGTACAATAAAAGTAATATCGATTTTAATTTAGTTATTTTCTTACAAAGTTATTTCAGCGCCATTATTCGAATAATCAGAACCCATTAGAACAAAAAACCTCTCATTAGATTTCTACAGATTTCTAACTCCCAATGCACCTCAAACAAAATCTATTTAGTCGTGTAATATATGCAGATTGAAAGATCAAAAAGGCTGAGTCGGGAACAATTCAATTCCAGTCGACATAGATTCCATTGAAACTCAAGATGTAAGAGCAAGCAAATGTTTGAGTAATGTAACGTTACTTAAACAAAAAAGGATTGTTCTTTGAAAAGAGTAAATTCAATGTATCATTTTATCCTTCTTTCTCTTTTTTATTCAGTTTATTAATGAAAGGTACAATAGTAGGTATTTTATGATTATTTCGTTTATTGTTACACTACATATTTATAATAACTATCGTGAGACTTACCTACTAAATAAACTAAAAATCGCGAGTTACTCACGTGAAAATATCGAGAAACTCTACTTGTTTCGAACCACAGAAGGGTTCTTCCTCATGAGCAGAGTGCGCGGTCGCGGCGATGTCGCGCAGTCTACATTTTCAGTTCACGATTCTTAGTTAAATTAATTGTTTAACTTTTTAAAGCACGTTTCGCAATGTTGCAGCACACGTGTCGCGGGTTCGATTTCAGCACGAAATAACCTATAATTCACAAATTAACATTCCGGCTTTGGGTCTGGTGTGCATATGAATTTGTTAGTGACACCACACAGAAGAGAAAACACTTCATTCATTTAAAAACACACTATAGAACGTTAGACACAAATAAGTTCCCCAAAGTAGTGAAAGGCTGTTAACCTTCACCCCTCGTTGTACCTCTTACTTACCTCATGCCCCGACTGCACGCGATCCGGAACATTATCGGTCATCCACAAACACGAACCTTCTTCGTTTCTTCCTGAATACAACTTTCTGATATATATATTATGCTGGTCATGAGGAAGAACCCCTGTGTTGTTCGTAACTAGTAGAGCTTTTCTCTGTATATTCACGTAAGTAACCCGCGATATTTAGTTTACTAAATACTTACTACTTGCTTTTTTTTATCTTGTTTGTTTGTTTGAACGCGCTAATCTCCGTAACTACAAGTCTGATTTGAATAATTCTTTTTGTGTTGGATAGTGCATTTATCGAGGATGGCGATAGGCTATAAAACATCACGCTATGACCAATAGGAGCTAAACAGAGCGTGTGAAACCGCGCGGAAGTAGCTAGTTATTCCATAAATCTAAAGAGTGTGTTTGTTTGATTCTGCTAATCTCAAGAACTACTGGTTCAATTTGAAAAATTATTTTTGTGTTAGATAGTTCATTTATCGATGAAGGTTATAGGCTATAGAACATCACGCTGCGATCACAAGAAATTGAGCAGAGCTGGTAAAACTGCGCCGGGGTAGTTAGTAAACAAATAAAACGCCAATTAAAAATTAACAAAGCGTATGTACAATCTTAATTGTATTCAAAGTGTTTCACAATAAAACAAAGACGTTGAAGTTCGTCCAAAAGTTTGAAGTTTCATTACAACAGTATCGTATACACGACTTGTATTATTTCAGCACTTTCAGCGCTGTAGGGCACTGCTTCTACTAAGTTACCAACTTTACTTGTTCAAGTAGCATTATGTACGAGAGTAAATAACCCTCAAGTATGAAGTCTATTCCCAAGCGTAGGAAAAAATTTGTTTTATTGAATTCCACGTTAGTCGAATGGTTGACAAACATGACTGACGAACCAAGTGCCTCAGACTCCACTTTGTGTGGGAGAGCCATACTTCGGCACTCTTCCCCAATCTGCCCTGCCCAATCCCTGAATGCCAAACAATCCTCAACTTCCTAAGCCCAAAAAGGCCGGTATCGAACTTGTAACGCCTCTGATGTTACGGGTGTCCATGGGCGACGCCGATTGCTTACCATCAGGTGATCCGTCTGCTTGGGCAAAGTATTTTGGATACTTACTAAGGATTTGTTTTATAATTCTCATTAAATACTAACACACAATCTGGAATGATATCCTATCCAGGATATGGCCTCGTAGGTAACCAAAAAACTTAGGATTAATCTCTAATCTGTCGATATATGAGACACAATAGAAAACATACTGTGTCCCGTTTTTTTTTTAAGGGGGGAAAATCATCGAATGACTGCTCCCGTCCGGATGAGGCGGGAGGGAGGACTCTTAGTTACCTAAGCTATCCGCGACTACTGTGTCCCGTATATCTACGTTCCAGCATATCGTGGGTTAATGAACAACAAATAACGAAAAGTGGCTTCGAAATTAATATTAGCATCTCTATCAAACTCTTTTTTATAAAAAAGCGTGATATTCCATGTGAACAGAAAACCCATGCCTGCTAACCCAACCCCTCATGGAAGCTAAGGCCGGTAGATATCATCGGCCAGTTAATTACCATTTTAATTGAATACACTCGGCAAATTATTTTTTCAACCGCCATTTTTTTCCTCGTATAATTTTTCCATCTCGCTTTATAGTTTGCTTTTCATTTTCAGTTATCATTTACTGGAGGAATTCATTCTGAGAAATACAATTTCGACGGACATTTTGAAAAAATGCTGCCCTAAGGTTTCAATTCAATTTCAGATTTAGTTATTTAACTTTATATTGCAGCTATTTGTGTGATTGTGATCTACTGAGCTACTTATCTACTTATCTATTATTGTTATTTTCTTAGTATCCTTTAGGAACATCTAATAAAGCAGTAGGTATATAAAATATGATGAGACTATTCAACCTAACTGAATATTTGCATTTCTTTTTCAATAAAGTTTTATTAGTTTTAGTTTTTTCTTTACCAAC